CTTTGGGAAACTGAACAGCAATGGTTTTTAAACTACTTCCTGCTGGAGGTGACCCACATCAGGAAGCCCTCCGATGGTATTGGTCATAGAAAATGAACTTGACCTCCTTGATAGAAATATGCTTTTCCTTATCTGAGAACATGTGAGCACTCACCTTTCTGTGGGAAAATCCATATCTCATTTTTATGACATATTTTTGTGTAGTTGACATTTGTTAGGTGTGACTCTTTATCATGATGATCTAGGAACAGAAGCCATTTCCACAGTATTCCTAACAATGTGATACTTTCCTTCAGAAGATCTTAAAGACATTTTGTTGATTATTATGGAACTTCCCTTTAAAAACAGGATTTAGGGATTTAGGGGCACCTGGGTGGCTCAGTTGGTTAAGGGCCTGACTCTTCAAAAAAAATTTTTTTAATGTTTATTTATTCTTGAGAGAGAGAGAGAGAGAGAGAGAGAGAATGAGTGGGGGAGGGGCACAGCAAGAGAGGGACACAGAATCTGAAGCAGGCTCCAGGCTCTGAGTTGTCAGCACAGAGCCCGATGCGGGGCTTGAACCTATGAGCCGTGAGATCATGACCTGAACCGAAGTTGGATGTTTAGCCGACTGAGCCACCCAGGCGCACCAAGGGTCCAACTCTTGATTTCAGCTCAGGTCATAATCTCATCGTTCATAAGATTGAGCCCTATGTCAGGCTCTGAGCTGACAGCATGGAGCCTGCTTGGGATTCTCTCTGTCTCTCTCTCTCTGTCTCTCTCTCTCTCTCTCTCTCCCTCTCTCCCTCTCTCTGTGCTGCTCTTGCTCTTTTTCTCAAAAATAACACAAGATATTTAAAATGTAAAGTATAAACGGGATTTAGCCTCAGAAACATAGATTGTTGACAAAGCATGTTTCCTGGCCCCCGTCTCCGTGGCCTCTGTTTCCTGTGATGCCTGGGGTGTGAGGGGGCTCCCCACCTCTGGCCTACCATTGGCAGCACTATATATGTCAGAAAGAACTTGGGCTATTTTTGTGGAGAGGAGAGGATTCTAGAGAGACATGGCTACCATCTCCACCCATGAGAGGGAGATGCAAGAAGGTAATCAAAGAAATTCACTATTTCTGATGATCAGCAATGAGAGGTGCTCTATGAAGCATTTTTCCACATCTTATGGAGTCCTCACAACAAGTTTCTGAAGCAGATCATTTAGAAAAGGGAACTAAAAATCAGAGTCTAGTTGCCCAACCTGTAGCTAAGTGGCAAAACCAGACCTAACTCTCTATGTGGCTAGAAATCCTGAAGTCCTTCCATAACCCAGGCTTACTCTGTATGGTCTTATGGTTAAAACGAGAGTCAGTAAGCAAAAAGAATAAGGGAATAGATTTTATCCCATGCAATATCAAGAGACAATTCTCAATGTCAGAGTCATCCAGAAATGGTAGGGTCAGGGTTGGTAGTGAGGGTTACCTTTATGGAAGCTGTGCTGGACATCAACTCAGGGTGGGTCGTCATTTCCCACTGTGCATTCTCCAGAGCCCTCTGTCTGAAGAGGGGCAAAGATACAGAGGAAAAATGAAAAATGGGAGTGGAAAGAAGAAAGGGGCTATGTGGTTGAATAAATGCTGACTTAGAACATGTTTCCTGGAGAACGTCTCTTAGGATTTCACATGCTGACTGTGATTTTTGAAATCTACTAACTGAGAAATAACTAACTTATTTCACCCTGGGACTCATTTCTCCTGGAGTATCTTCAGGGACTAATGTTCCAAAGAAGGCAATCAGAAAATGCTGCTGTGGCGTGTGCCAAAACACCACATGAGAGTCTGGCTTTTGGCATTTCTTTCATTTATCCACTCATTCGTTCATAGACCAAGAATCACAGAGGATTTACTGGGTACTAGTCTCTAAGTGAGGCACTGGGGATGCAAAAGTAAGTAGGATCTCATGTTCTATCTCTTCTCCCAACCCCTGTGCCCTCCCTCTGTCCCCCAAGCCACCCTTACTTCACTCCGGCCTCACTCCGGCCAACTGGGCCTCATTTCTAGTCTCACGTTTTTGCACTGGCTGTTCTGCTTCCCAGAAGGCTTCTTTCCCATGTAGCCGTGTGGCTGACTTAGATCCGCCTGCAAACTCTGCCAGATGCCGTTTCCTCGGAGCAGTCTGCCCTGCCTCGCCCCCTCCCCTGGGCACGTCTGATCAGTCTTACTCTGTTTAATATTGTTTATTTGGCACTTACCATCTTCTGGCATAAAAAGTAATTAACTTGATTATTTTTAATGTTGTCTGTCTCCTACACTAGAATGTAAGCTTTACAAGGTCAAGTCTGTTTTGTTCACTGATCTATCCCAAGCACTTAAAATAGCTCTTGTGACATAACAGGTGCTCAATAAATATTCCTTTAAATGAATGACTGAAACATAAAGTTCCTATCCTCATGGAAGTCATTTTATGAACACCTAAGAAGACTGAAAACTTGTGGGATTCATTATATGAGAATTTATTTTACATATATTTATATATATACATATATGTGTATGTAATGTAGATATACATTCTTTTCTTCCAACCCTGGTGACCTCCCTTTGTATCCATGGATACATATACTGAGTTGGATATCAAAATAATTTTAAAAACTAAGATAATGTTCCAAGGAATAGATTGAAAACATTTATTTTTTTTAACTTTTTAATGTTTTTTAATTATTTCTGAGAGAGAGAGAGAGAGAGAGAGAGAGTAAGCAGGAGCAGGTCAGAGAGAGAGGGACACACAGAATCCGAAGCAGGCTCCAGGCTCTGATCTAGCTGTCAGCACAGAGCCCGATGCGCGGCTCGAACCTACAAACCGCGAGATCATGACCCGAGCCGAAGTTGGATGCCTAACTGACTGAGCCACCTAGGCGCCCCACAAAACATTTTTTAAATAGGTACTAAGGACCACTTGTGTGTTTTAGAGGCATCCCTAAACTTTAAATGGGATGCCCTGTATCCCCAAACCTTGCTGACATCACCACCAGAGTCTGGAAGATTCAAGTCTTTTCTAGAAGTGCATTTATGGCCTATTTATATTTTGATATTTGGGAGGTCAAAGTCAGGTAACAGTGAGTTGAGTCCTAAGAATTTCTGGATGCCACCTACTCAAGGGTTTCAATCAAATATGTTAAAGGTAGCCATGACTTGACCTTTATATATAGACACGAACCCTTTAGAGGTTTCTAGATCTATTCTCCCCAGGCCAACAATCAGCTGCTACCTTTTAGGTGCTGAAAGGACCTGAAAAGTTTCCATCAGACACAGATTAGACTTTACCCTGACTTTTTGCCAATGGAACCATTTGCTTATACATTTCAGAAACCCACCATATTCATCGATCCAGCAAAAAAAAAAAAAGGAGGATTTTAAAATGGAATTTTTATTTAGACCAGCCTGGGTTTTGAGACAGGAAGATGTTCTTTTCCTTCTCTTAAAGGAGGAGTAAAGCTGTGACTTGAGTTACAAAATGGCCATCATACCTTGAACTAGTACCTGCTGAATGCTGTCCACCACCCAAGACCATTGTGGCTGGGCTACCTGCTTCGCGTGTCGTAATTAATTGTTCTCCGCTTCTGAGAAGAGAAAGGGCAGAAAGGTGAAGGTTTCACTCCAAATATGGGAGAAGGTGAGACATCATGAGAAACAACACCCTCATTGTTATTTTTACCTTTATATTTATGGAATGCTTACATTTTATTTTATGTATACACAGCAATTAAAAAAAATGTTAAGTAACAGGCGTTAAGCGAATTAGAATACTTAATATGGGTTTTGAACTTCTGCCAGGAGTAGACTCCAAAGCCAGTTCTTCTTATTTGCATTGTTGCATTTATCCATTTCCAAACATTAGAAGATCCATCTATCAGATTCTGTGTAAATCCAGCACACAGATAATTTGTAAAAAAGCTTTCTTTCAAAATGTTCTGTGGTTTTTCTAATCTCGTCACTTTTCTAATTTTCTAATCACATAACCTTGAAGTCGAAAGACACAGCCTGTGATAATCTGTGTACACTGTCTTCATTATTATCACAGACATTTCTGGGGAAAAAAAAAAAAAAAAGAAAACACACACACAAAAAAACACACACCAAAAACCCCTTTCCGCCCCCCACACATTCAAAGCTGCCTTTAAAGTCCCCACTTTGGTCACAGTTCAATCAGATCCACATTAGTCCTACTCATCAGACAGAAAAGTGTTCATGAGCATAAGGGGGATATTGACTTTAAAAATTTACTGGCGAGGCGTTCAGAGCCTGCAGGAATGTCAAAACTCCAACCTGCATTTTGATGTTTTTGCCTCCGGTTAGTCTTGACTGACATGCTTGGAGCACTTTGGTCTGTGCTCTGGCATCCATTAACTGTCCTTGACTCAATGTTACACAGGCCGTTATGGGCAGCTCGGTGCCTAATGGTTCCAGTGGATTAGACGCCCCAAGGTGTAAGGAAAACTCCCGCCCCATTTTAAGGGATCACATTGGCTATTCTTGGCTTCATTAGGGGGGCATTGTTTGATCCTAAATAATGAGAGCCTGTTAATTATTATTCTGATAATTGGGCCTCATGTGGGAGCACGGCAGAGAGCGAGGTGTTTTACAAGGAAGCGAGTTTGGAACCGGGAGAAAGAAATGTCAAGGTTGAGGTGTCTTTGAGAGGAGTTTGTTTATATGCAAAGTGTTTTCACCTAGGTGGGGACACGACACTGGACGGAGGAGAGGGAAGGAGGCTAGAGCGAGCTCAGGTCTATACTTACTTCAGCTACAGCAGATTACAAAATTATTACCTTGGGCGAGCCATTCAAAAAGACTCCCCAATCCCATGACGAAACCTGTAATTCCGTACAAAGAGATTGGGAATTGGTTTCTCTTGGAGGAGAGAGAGATCACAGGCGGGGGAGAGGGGTCCTTGTTGAAGCCCATCTGGGGAAAACTGTGAACTTTGTTTCTTTATATGCCGTTGTTTTTGCTTTTTTCCCCACCTAGGAAATGACAATCCAGTCCGTTAAGGGTCCCGCGGGAAGATTCCTGCCTGGTCAGACGGAGGGGTGGATGTCTGTCCAAGAGGCGCACATGTCAGGAGTGCCTGAGGTGATAGGGAGGAGATGACCTTTGTGCAGAAGGTGGTGGTGACTGTGGGGGAGATTTCCCTGAGTAGGTGAGTCTCAAATGAACCTCGGACAGGCTGTAAAAATTTTGCTTTCTCAGACTCCCCATAAGTCAAAAGAAGAGCTTTAAAGCATTAAATCTGGACCTGGTCTCTTTTTTCCTTCGCACATGCTGTGTTATAGCAGCCACAGTCATTTTTAATTATATTTATGCCACTCGTGTAATTGCAGGAGAGAAAAATCCAGAATCTACGAATCCACACAAGATCGTCTCTTTCCTGGAGTCCAAATAAGAGCCCACATTGTTTCTATCCACGTGAGGGAAGGGTGGGGTTTAAACAGATGTCTCAATTTAAAAGGAGGAGGGAGAGTTTGGGGGAAGGTAAATTCGCATTTGAAGCTTTCACCGGGGCTTTTGTCAGACTTGCACATACTTCAGGTAGAGCTGGCCAGCTGAGATGAGAGCTGGCCTGCCTGTAGACCAGGTGACAGTGACCGACAGGAAGAGAAGAAATAGAGAGAAGGACCATACTCGTTTTGAGTTCCAGTCCTGTGTTCATATGACTTCGCTTGGTTCTAAATCCCACTCTTCCAATTAAACTGGAGAGACTATCAGAAGTACGTGTTCAAAACAGTTACATAGCCTGAAGCTTTGGACTTGCCGGAGCCTTCTTCATACAGCTCTGTGATTCTCTTTTGTACGTGTGAATGTTCTTTGAGATGCACCATGGGAGTTAGAGCAGGAGGAAAGGGTGGGAGGGCCAGGGCCACAGTGTTGGGGAATTGAAGAGTTAGTGGCCAAAACAGGTGATCCTGTCTGTGATCTCTCAGCTGTTCCTAACAGCTTCAATGCACCTCATAGGCTCATCAAAATGACACTGCACTTCACTAGAACATGGCGTCCTAAGTGCGCACTTATTAGAAAGCAGAGCCATCTTGGATCCTGTGCACAGGGGACTATTAAAGTCAGAATTGGCCAATAGAAGTAGATAGGTAGCACTAGCAGCCAGTGGAGACTTCGACTTCACTTGACCACTCATTCATTAGGTAACCTTGAGCTTAACTAATATTCTCGGTCTGATTCCTCATCTGTCAAATGAAGTTACGTATGTCAGCCTTTGAACCTGATAAAGAAGTTATGAGGCTAGAGTAAGGTTGTAATCACAAAGCAATTCCTAAAAATGAAATATTTATGTTTATGCAAACATAAGGTATGTTATTATTTCCAGATAAGTTAGGACAATAGGAACCTCTAGCACTATCCCTTCCTTCCCTCCCTACATCCCATCTTGCTGCTTCTTTTTTAAAGCAAGCTCTAAGCCCAATATGGGGCTCCAACTGATGAGCAAGAGCCCCATGCTCTACCGACCGAGCCAGCCAGACAGCCGCCATCTTGCTGCTGTTGCATTCTCATCTTTTCATTGCTGAGAGGATCAGCCCCCGATTGAAATTCCCATAAGAAGATCAGAGAGCTCTTCCACTGGAACAGACTAAGAACCCTTTAGAAATAGCACCTATTAAGAGCGGCCTACATGCACATATCTCTTAGATTTAATGTGAATCATTGAAGCTAACGTTTTGTTGCGTCTGAACACAAGTTTGGCGGCAAAGAATATATCACTTTTCTGCCCAAGACTTACCCGTACAGGTGGAGAACATAGGACTGACTACTCTAACTTTCCTTTAAACAAGGTTCTATACAAATTATCAAAACTCTTCTTTTATCTTTTTAGATTTTCATCCCATATCATTTCCCAGGATTTCAAGTCCTGGATTTTATTTAGCCGTTTTCTTTGTATCTGTCCTGGAGAAGTTGTTGCATGTTTCCACGAGGGACAATGATCATGTCTTCCTGAGGTTGCTGAACAGTGGTGACATTATCCTTTCATACACTTACTACCCTGGTTCTGCAAGGCCTCGGCTTTTGCATCTGACGGCTCCTCATCTTCTTAGCTTGTTTTCCTGCAGAAACCTCTCTCTTCTCTTTGCCTTCTCAATTGCCAATTTTATGAGATGTTTTACTACCTTACAATTATCACAGAAACCACAGTCTCTCTCTGGAGAGCTCACAGTTTGCTAAATTAGATGAATGATAAATCATCAAGGGCCGTGGGTCAGAGACACTCCTAGATGAAAACGCTGTTTAGAAAAAGGAATAAAGCTTGGTTTATCCCCAGAACTTTTCTATTCCAAATAGGAAATCTTCCTCGGGTTTACCAGTTTACAGTGATGTCATCTTGTGTCTTGACATTCACTCGGGCAGCTGATCGCCAAGGTCTTTGGTGCCTTTGAACTTGTACAAATAGTTCCACTTCAGTGACTGTGACTCAGAAGGCAATCTCCCAGCTGCTGCTCTGTCCTCTGGATGGCAGGACATTTGTGTTTCATGGATGAACCCTGCATAGTGAATGTTATGGCAGAACATACATTCATATTCTCTCTCTTTCTCTCGAAATAGTCATAGAATGCTTCCTCGACTTTTTAGCTGGAGTTCACTGGCAATTCTTCTAAGCTTAACATTTCGTATTGCATACAAAATATCTGCAGTTCAAAATAGCATGCTCTTTTCCAATGGTGTGTTTCCTAAGAAGAGGACATTGTCTTGTCTGTCAGTCTTCTTCTCCATCTCCTTATGTCTTGCTCACTAATATGATGGAGAGAAAGTTGTAAATACCATAGATCACAGGCTCTGTCAAGGTAAAGATTACTCAACTGGTCAAGTGACCATGGGGTGGCTTAAAAGCTGAAGTTAATATTTAGAATTAGGCATTTGAGTTGAACAGGAACCCAGGATAAGCCAAGGTGGAATGTGAGGTTGGAACCATGTCCAACCCCACCTCACCTCTCCCATCATCCACTTATGGGGTCACTATTACGTAATTTATCTGGGGTGATTTTGGATCAGGTCGCCCTTCCTAGAAACCTGCCTCCTCCCCTCTGCTTTGCATCCAGAGCAAAAGTGATTGAAGAGGGATGATTTTAGGCTATTATGCTTTGGATTTATTCACAGCATCAAGTTAATTGAAAGTTGTTAATATAAGAGAAAAATAATTTTTTTCTGATCATGAACAATGACACTTCCATTTAAGAGCCACAAATAACAGAAACCTATCTAAGCTCAATAACTTGATCAAAACTTCTAGTAGGGAATGGTGTGGGAGGCTAATGGGGTGGCAGTAGGCAAATTTGTGAAAACATCATCATGAATTCATTTCTCATTTTTCTTGTCACTGTTTTCTTGTCATTGTTCTGGTAGGTAGAAGACTTAAAGGAATTGGTCACAACGCACTGTCAAATACACTCGACAGAACACCTTATTGTCTCATGGGAAGTATTTTTATCCCATCATCTGGGTCAGAATGGTTTTCTAGAGCCTCTGTGACTTGTGAATGAATTTGTCTATGATTAGGAAGGGCTAAACAGGTACCGCGGGCCATGTGTGCACCTGGTAACATAGACCAGTCAAGACAAATGACCCGAGTTACAGCTGTTAAACACGGGTATAGGGCTTTTGGTTCGAATTGAGTTATCTTGGCAGTTTATGAAATAGCACAGGCTTGCTTCTGCAGAATTCTCTAATACTAAACTCTTTCATAAGCCGTGCCTGTAAGCATGAATATTTTCATGAGTCCAAAAAATATTTTACATCAGATTAGAATGTACCAGGCATTCCCTTAGGTGCTGGAGATGGCTAACTAGCTGAACAATAGACATAATCCTTTTTCTTTTTGGGTGTATGTATATTATATATATATTTGGGTGTATATATTATAGTCTAAAAGGGAAGAAAGACATAATTAATTGTGTACAACAGAAGGAAAAAATATACAACTGCTATTGACTGAACTCAAATCTTCTTTTCTCAAGTAAACTAGTTCAATTGAAATACTACTTTTTTCTTTCTGCCAGTCTTTTACTTCCCCACCCCATGGCTTCTTTTCATTGGATAAGAGCCAAGTGACTGTCCCAAAGGAGTCTGGTCAAGTCTCAGGCTTTCAGACTTCTATAGAGATGTGCTGTTAGCCTCTGCTACTTTTTTCCTCTCTACCTACAAAAAGTTATTTGAGACAGAGAAGGTTTTAACATCTGCCCTCTAAAAAGGAAGTTTCTGTATGTGTGTCTATATGTCTGCACATGGAGAACGGAAATCTTAGAGATTATCCATATGACTCTATTTTCCAAATTCATGCATCTCAGCTGCCAAATGAGACCAAGTTACCTACATACCCAAACTCAGAAACCTCTTTAGCAGATCAGTTAGGAGGTCAGACCCAGGACTGTAAGAAAGAATTTGTAGCTTGGGCTCTCTGTGTGGTGTCAGATGAGTAACCAGAATTGCCCTCATTTGAGAATTTGTTGCCATTTGGCACGATTAACTCTAAGTGTCCTGTAGTCCTCATTTCCATCATAGCTGCTGCACGACTCTGATAAGTGTCCACAGGGGTGTGGGAAGGGAGTCGCAGGAAGAATGGAATTTGTGTGGCTTTGGTTTTGGTTTGCTTTGCTATTTTCAAACTCAGAAAAAATGCACAATAAGAAATAGGTCAAGTTCAGGGCACCTGGGTGGCTCAGTCGGTTAAGCGTCTGACTTCAGCTCAGGTCATGATCTCACGGCTCGTGAGTTCAAGCCCCATTTTGGGCTCTGTGCTGACAGTTCAGAGTCTGGAGCCTGCTTCGGATTCTGTTACTCCCTTGCTCTCTGCCCTACCCTGCTTGTGCTCTGTCTCTCAAAAATTAATAAAAACATAAAAAAATTTTTAAAAAAAGAAATAGGTGAAGTTTAACAGACATAGAAGACTTTGATATTTATCCAAGTAGATGATAAACAGTCGCTTCTAACGTTGTTAGTTTGACATACCTACTTGCTAAATAAAATATTTGGCATAGATTTACCCTACCACAGAAGAACTGAAGCCATTTGTCTTTTGGTAAAATGCACTTTGCCCTGGTTTAGAACAGGCACACTTACTAGCCTGCATCTGCAGCATCGAGTGAAGGAAAGTTTGGCAGTCACTACAGTGTTTCTATATCCTGAGCCAAAGCAACGTCT